TTGCGAGTAATGTTTGACACAGTTCCTAGAGCAATATTACCAAATCTATGTGCCAGGTCTCTCTCAAAGAGGCCAAGTCTTAATCTCATAAGCACCATGATGTATTCTTGAAAGGCAGTCAGTGCTCTAGGCCTACCAATCTTAGGGGTTTTTTGATTAATTTCACCTTCTCTCTCACAGACATTATTCGATGCTTGCACTAATTCAAAACAAAATAACAGCATTTTGTAGTTCGGAAGACCTGTATAAAACTCGATGTCAGTATCGTTAGACTTGTATTGCTCAATATCGAACTTCGTTTGCTGCTGCTGTAGCCTTACAAAGTTGGTTTTGACCGTGTTCAGCTCGTCCGATATTCGCTTCAGTTCGCTTTTCAGAAACAATGTTTCTTCTTGGAGTTCGTTTTTTTCATCTTTAAGTCGTTTTACTTCGATTTCTGCATTGCAGAAGCAAGGCAAATCTGTTTGAGTTGAACAGTCAAGTTGTGTAGCTTCGGGTTCTGGATCTTTGATTTCCATGGCGTCCGACATATCACTGATGTTAGTTGAGTTCTTTCTCTTGCGTTTATGGTTCTCGATGGTTTCCTGACTGGCTTTGGCGATCACTCTACGTGGTTGCTTGCTTTCAGTCCATGGAAAGATAGATGGAAGATGAGTCCGGCTTAATTTTTGTCCTCCTTCCCAATGTTCACAACAAATCCTTGTGTGTGTCGATGTCACTTTGAGGTTGTCGTTTCTTATCAGAACATCGTATTTTTTACGAAGCTCCGAGTCCGTTGGCAAGCAATAAAACTTGAATCCAGAAGCCTTATTTCTATGGCTATTGGTACATCCAGGAACACAGCAATTATACTTTGGCATTTCAGCAAGATTTCAGAGAATAAACAGTAGACATCAAATTCTTTTCGTTTCCCTTGTAAACACAGCTGACTCTGTCCCTGGTAACGATCCCAGAAGCCTTCGCGCGGCGAAACTCGCCCCACTCCCCAGCTCGTTTATGAAAAGGGCAATTTTACGGGCTTCAAAGCATGGTGATGCTGTTATAGGGCACCACCGTTCTGAAAACCATTTTTCAGAATTATTTTGTGATCTTGTTCCCTCTATTTCTGTGAGCATAGTTGGCTAGATATTGCTTAAGAGGAGTCCAGCTTTCTCTTCTAAAATAGGAATTGCTGAAGATTCAAGCGTGTAGTCTTCATAATTCATCAGCAGCCGAGTTTCCCACATTGAGGCATGCTTTTGCTCAGCCGAGATAGTTTGCAACCCCACGACAAAATTGTTAATGTTTTTGTCTGTAAACTTTCGATATTCATTTGGTCTGGGATCAAAGTCGATAACCTGTAATTTTTGCTGTTTGCGTTTGGTAGGATACTTTGCATTGGATAGCTTACGTGGATTTTTTTGGAGTTCTTTACCCCCCTTGTTCCAACTACATTCTTGACTTGTGCATGGTGTTGTTACTTGGTTGCCGTGCGTTTTCACGTAGTCAACAAGGAAGAGTAAAACCGCTACTACGTGCCTACACCGTCCAAGTGCCGATGCTTTACAGGGTTGGAAAGACGCATGAATGACTGCTCCACTGTTCCTCAATACAGTAATGTCTTCATTATGAGGTAAATCGGTTTTCATTGAGGGCCAAACGTGCGCCTTTACGAAGTAGTGTTCCATAGTTTTGTTGTCTGTTAGATCATGAACAAATCCAGAATCAACGTATTTTCTTCCAACGCTAAACGGTTTGTCGGTCATGTGGCCTAGTCCAGTGTCAGTGTCCAAATTATTAACATCATGATCTATTGTTTAGTCATTTTCGTTAGAAACAAACGGTAACGACTCCAACGCATAGTGGTATACATGACCATAATTGAACAGCRATGGAATGTCCTGCGATGGGAAGGCTTTCCATCCAGATTTTGGGSCTATTGGGATGGTTACATCTTCACTTCTAGCACTTGATCTGTCAGTAGTTTCTTTTAAAATCTTGGCCTGCAACCACTTTCCATCATCTATACTTGGATCTAGAACATGGTGATTACCTGCTTTGATAGCATCGCGAACACGTGCGAGTAGATCACTACGCTTTCCGCTCAGTTTAAGGCTTCTAAACTTCAGCCATCACTTCAACTGCTCTACAGTGTAGTTGTCGGGGTCTTCTTCGAACTTTGAACCAGGTATGCCGTCGTTTTGCGTTAAAATTACGGCTTGTTTTAGATTTGAACTCGCAATCGTCGATTCGTCGCCCATATTCCTTTACTACTGAAGCTATCTGTGTGACGTCACGTCCGCGCAGCGCTATTGGTCTGTCATCGATTGTAATGTTACTGATTGTAGGTGTTTTCCTTTTGAAGCAGACCAACATTTCCTTGCATTTGGTGGGGTTTARCTGCATCTTCTTGTCATGAACTTCACGACAGATATCATTGGACTTTTCTTGAAGAGAACTTATGTCAACGTCAGCACGGAGAGTTTCACCAAGAGTGATGTCATCCATGTACTTCCAGCACCAGCTTTCACGGTGAGCCAGGGAGTTTACCATGATAAGAAATAACGTTGGGGCCAGGACACCGCACTGTGGGATGCCCGCAGGAACCGGTTTCCACTCGGATGAAATTCCATCAAGGCAGACTCTTTGAGAGCGCCCAGTCAGGAAACTGGTAATACTTCGAACCAAGGCAGGATGAACGTCGAATTGGCGCACTACTTCGATTAAGATGTTATGGTCCACCCTGTCAAAACCTTTACTTAGATCATAGAAGCAAAGTCTCACTAAGTTGTTCGGATCATCAGTTGATGAGAGGAGGAATTTCATCAAGTCCACAAGGGCACATGTGGTTGACGAGTCTTTGACAGAACCAAAGTGGCGTTTATCCAACGAGGACCCAATTTGTTGGAGAAGCAAGGAGTTGAAGTGTCTCTCATACAATTTGCAGGTCTTTCTCTGGATCTTGGATACAGGATTTCTTAGGAACTGGGCAAACATCAGCTTGCTTCCATTGTGCAGGAAAGTGACCTTCAATAAGAGCAGAGTTGAAGATATGTGTCAGTGGCGGTGCAAGAAGCGGAGACATTTCCTTTAGAATAACGATGGGGATAGGCTCAGGGCCGCAAGATTTTTTATTGTTGAGACTACTCAGCATTTGTGACACCATTTCTGTTGTGAGTAGAAAGCTATCAGGGACAGCAAAGTCAGGTGGGTCGTTGTGAGGTTCCAAAGGCTCATATTCTTCAACAACTTTCAAAAAGGTGTCCTTAATCAATTCGGGCAGTTAAATTCCAGACATCACGGGTACCAAAGGTCAATTTGCTCGGAATTGTGCTGTTTTTTTGCCTTGTAATTGCCTTGACTCCTCATAGTAATCTTGGATATTTGTAAGGATGAGGTCAAGAGTAACATTAACATCTCCACGAAAAATTCAGAGAGAACTTCTATCATGCTCTTCAAGGTATTTTAGTAATGCAATGTTGTGTGTCTGATTTTAGAATTTTTTKGACTAATGACGTCATGTGAAAACCGAGAAACTTGTACGCACTCTCCTGCTCTGATATAAAAGGTGACAAAAGTCGAACTTCATTGAGCGCAGTTGAAATGTAATACGAGCTGAAACCTTTTTCCGGTTCAAGCACGAAGCAAAACATTACAAGAAACTCATCGCTTTGTGAATATTGAACGTTTATGTGTAAATCATACGAGAAAAACTATATACGGTATTCAATACAAGACTTACCAACAAAAGAAGTGATATGGTAATAATAATAACGCGTGTCCAGGTATTGGGCACATGGTACAGGTTATTTCACCTTTGCGAAGCTGTGAATCTGCTATCTCGTGTTTCACTGATAAAGCTTCAACGAGGTTCTCAGTAGTTTTCCTGCTATCATTTTTTTTTTCGATTTATTTAAAACATTTTTAGTTATCAAAAGAACGCTAAAAAGTTTTTAAAACTATGACAGGCGTGTCTCTATCGTAACTTTATGCAGCAAACAGAGAACTACGTTATTGAATAGTTAGGTCCAGTTAGATCCTTGGTATTACAATTTAAAAGAACTGCTTTGATTTAACATAATATTGAAATCAAAGTTCGTCATTTTATCACGGTGATGTATTACAGTAAGGCGCTCTTCAATTCATGACTTAGAGTACAGCTAAAGCTTACCTGGTCTTTGCTTGAGCCGTTTGACCGGACACAAATTCTCATCTAAAAATCCAAATATACAAGAGTGCCGATCTTTGTTTAGGACGATTTTAGTGTATATTCTCCTTACCGTTATTGAAGAAGCAAGATATAGATGGTAAAGGTTCTTTTGTTTGTAGTTAGAGTTGGTATCAAGAGACTGAACGCCAACGTGACAACTGAAATTTAACCCAAGGACTTCACTCACGTAAGAACCTCGTGGAAAAGGTTACCATGACAACTTTAAAATATCGAGAGCCTGAAACTAGCGACAACTGGAAAGCGACAACTCGGAAATTTCCAAGTTGTCGCGTCCGCGAGAGCCTGAAACTTAGCGACAACTTGGAAGCGACAACTCAGAAATTTCCAAGTTGTCGCGTTCGCGGGTGCCTGAAACTAGCGACAACTTGGAAGCTGTACTAACACGCACGCCATACTTGGGTTCATACAAAGCACACTTTATTGTAAGCACATGACTGTGACGTCATTACTGTACATGCATATAGTTAATATCATTACATCCCCCTTTTTCTACTATGAAATTACAATAGCGATGAAATCACTAAGTATAATACGTATAATCAAGAAGATTGCACAAATAAAATTTCAACATATATAACGTTCAGCGTCAGTCACTTAACATAATCTTCAAATCTCTTTGGTGGTTTTACGCATCTACCACTTCTCGTTGTAACCGCTCCATTAGACTGTGGTATGGGCATTTGTNCCCCCCGCACTCATTCACGAAACCTACATATTTGGAATCCTTAGAACTCACCGAATAAGAATATCGATGTTCCCAAGACGATAAAGTGTCCCAAGGTGTAGTTATAGGGGATTTCATTTTGAGCCAAATTACACAGGGATCCCAATTCAGATTTTTTCAAAAAAGCGTATTTGTTATGCCGCTAAAAGGCTCAAAGGGAATCAAAACACAATTTTTAAAACACCTTAAAGTCTTAATCGTTCTAGATGATGCCTAGCAAATTACAAACATATAATATTCTGAAAATATTTGACACATGAAACTATTCGTCATCTTCATCACTAGATCCATCATAGTCGAAGTCTTCACTTTCGCTGCTTTCATCTTCAGAGCTAGCATCCCCAGAACTATCAATTAGGTCAATTAAGGTGGTGGGAAGTATTGGACCTCTCGACCAAATAGGCTCTAAAATGCCATGTTCAGTTTTCTCCCAGCCTTGACCTTCATCATAAGGCTTTGGACACCAGAAGATAGGCACTGTGGCTTTCTTGTAAATGGCGAGACGGTGATTCACACGATGAATGTGTGGAATGAGATTGTCTTGGCATGGCGGGAGGCGAGACAGATCGATTTTGGACTTCGTTGTCATGCTATGATTTTCCCCGACCATCTTCTTTAACATCAATGCCCTCACAGCATTAACTGAAATTTCCTTTTTGTATCCATACATCAGGTAGGTGAATTCTTCAAGTTCTTGCATAGTCTTGTCCTCGACAGACCAATCGTCTCCTAGTTTCCTTTAAAGAAAATCCAGCCGAATAATTACAATCACACCAGCATTTTATGAAATAAATAAATGTCTTACCTAAAGCTTTCCTGATACTTCGGGTTATTTAGTAGTTTGTTCAAAGGTCCAAGCTTACCCTTGCCCTTGAAAGCGCTGGTTACATCTTCACCTGTAAAAACGTAGATTCCCATCAACATGGTAGCATATTCTTGACCTTTTAGTGTTGCTAGGTCT